GGGGGGGGGCAACGCGTGGGTCGCCCGGAACCACAGATCACGGTCCCCTCACGTTTTGAGAACATTTTCTTCAGGGGCACGCTAAGGCTCTTTATAAGTGCGTCTCTCTCTCGCTAGCGCCCTCTATAACCATCTCTCTCTCACTAGCGCCCTCTATAACCATCTCTCTCTCACTAGCGCCCTCTATATTCTCTCTCTCTCTCTCACACACAGTCGCTGCGGCAGTACAAAGACCAGATGAGTGAGGCGGAGGTGTTGATGTCGGCGTTGTCGGCGATGCAGGACAAAGCCGCTCACCTGGAGAACAGCCTGAGCGCGGAGACGCGTCTCAAGCTGGATCTGTTCTCAGCCCTCGGCGACTGCCGGCGTCAGCTGGAGATAGCCACGAGTGAGTATATATTATATATAGTATTATTATATATATATTACGTTTTCACAACGTGCGAAATTAACTATAACATAAACTAACTACAGGTTGCACTATTGCATTTATCAAATTTTGTCTCCATGAAAAAGACTGTCTTAAGTACATGTATTTATATTTGAATTACATGCAATAAAGATTTAATAATAAATAACTAGTATAATAAAGTAGTAATAAACTAGTATAGTAAAGTAGTAATAAACTAGTATAGTAAATTAGTAAGTGAGTATATATTACATTCTCACAGCGTGCGAAATTAACGGTCTACAAAGTCTGTAAAGCTACGACTTGTAATGATGTTAAACGATTCTACGAATAACTATAAAACGGTATAAAACAACTCATTCTATTTGGGGGGACCTAGTTCTTCTTAATTCTTGCCTAGAAGACACGTGTGCGCCAGAGCGCAAACCTCAAACACTGTTCTCTCTTTGTGAACTGAATCCGCGCCTAAAACAATGCACACCATCTAGTGGCAGCTAATGCAAATTAAAACATGATCTATTGTCATCGTCTATGGTGTAACATTACACGGAGTCAAATACTCCCTGATTTACTGCCGGACTCCCTGATTTGACATGTATAGGAGTCCGTGTGACTCCCTGAAAATTCTGCTAGTTCGTTCCGGAGCACGGCCTCGCGGAATTACCGATGATTTTTTTTAGCTAATGTCCAAAGAAAATTTGGCAGACGTGCAACCGCATGAATCTTAAAAATAAGCACATGCGCTATTGTTAATATCTTTAGTTTTGAACCTCAGACTGCGGACTCTCTCATTTTGCTGTGAACTGCCTCATTTTGAGGGTAGGGATTGGACTCCCTTGTTCAAAAGTGAATTTCTACCCCTGTTTTTCCCCCAATTTTTCAATCGACGTTCTCTCCTCAATAATTAATAATTAAGACTCCAAATTAATAACAAATCGACCTTAATTAATATCGTTAGTAGCAACATAACGACGATCGACCTCGCTCTTCGAAATCAAATCTGCGGTCGATCAAACGAAACGCGACGCAAAAAAAAAAATCGAAAATAAAACGCGCCGATGGCAGCGCCACTTGTCACGCGCACGTTCGCTTGTTTCTCTCCGCGCAGGTCAGCTGAGCAAGCGCGAGGAGGAGCTGTATTCTCTGAAGGCGAAGACGGTCGAACTGATGGCCGTGATGCCGCAGCCCGGAAGCTTCATGCCGCCGACGTCAGATGGCGCCACCAGCTCGATGATCTACTCGCCTAGCTTCGCGGTGTCGCGCGCCGAGTCACCCGGCATGGCGTCGCCGGACGGCAGCATGATGAATTCCAACCTGGACCCGAACGCGATCTGTTACACGCCGAAAGGAAACTAGGAAACTAGGTCTCCCGGAATCCCTCGCCCTCTCCCTCCTCCTTCTTTTCTTCTTTTATTGCGAGGCGAGCGCGTGCGGAGGGGGAGGGCGGGGATGGGCGGGGGAGTAAGGAACGTAGAGATCTCGCTTTCCCGGTTTTTTCCTCGTTTTGGATTTTCGTTTTCGATTTTGTTGATTCGGCGTCGGCAGCCTTTCTCCACCCCCCGTCCCCGCGAGTCGGTGGTTCGATCCAAATCTGGGGAGCACCGGAGCCGTGGCGCCATCTTCTGTGACCGTTTGTACATATATTTAACATTCGCGACGGTCTTCGACGAAGGATCAGGATGTGCGTAGCGGCGTCGGGGAGAGGTCACAGGTCAAAGGTCAAAGGTCACATACATTGGGGTGTCACGAGCTGCGACCAAAGTCTGAAGGTGACAGTTGACACAGTTGGCAGTCGCAGACAACGGTCGTACGCGCTACTTATACATCACGAACCGAACCGTGACCCTACGTCGCAAACCGTGACCTTACGTCGCAATCCGTGACCTTACGTCGCAAACCGTGACCCTGCGTCGCAAACCGTGACCCTGCGTCGCAAACCGTGACCTTACGTCGCAATCCGTGACCCTGCGTCGCAAACCGTGACCTTACGTCGCAATCCGTGACCCTGCATCGCAAACCGTGACCTTACGTCGCAATCCGTGACCCTACGTCGCAATCCGTGACCCTACGTCGCAATCCGTGACCCTACGTCGCAATCCGTGACCTTACGTCGCAATCCGTGACCCTACGTCGCAAACCGTGACCTTACGTCGCAATCCGTGACCCTACGTCGCAATCCGTGACTTTACGTCGCAATCCGTGACCATACGTCTCAAACCGTGACCTTACGTCGCAATCCGTGACCCTACGTCTCAAACCGTGCCCCTGCGTCGCAATCCGTGACCCAACAACGCAATCCGTGACCCTACGTCGCAATGCGTGACCGTACGTCACCGCCAGGGGGCGCCCCGCCCTCCTTCCCGTGCCGACCAATCAAACCCCACGACTGGTGGCTCCCCCTCGCGGCCCGGCTCCTCCCCTCTCTCCCGGTCGCATTTTAATTTTGTACCCTCCCCTTGTGATCGTTTCACGAAGGTCCGCGGCTCGACAATTTTCGGCTCCGCGCAAAAACGAAAACAATAGACCGCCATCAGGCGATGGGGGCGCCACCGTTCCGCTGGTTTTCTTCGCCTTTAGATCGGTTAGTAATGCTGGGAGAGATCCGGGATGTTGTGGGGAAGCCTTCCGGGAAGGAGGGATTATGGAGGAAGCCTCCCGGGAAGGAGGGATTATGGAGGAAGCCTTCCGGGAAGGAGGGATTATGGAAGAAGCCTCCCGGGAAGGAGGGATTATGGAGGAAGCCTTCCGGGAAGGAGGGATTATGGAGGAAGCCTCCCGGGAAGGAGGGATTATGGAGGAAGCCTTCCGGGAAGGAGGGATTATGGGGGAAGCCTTCCGGGAAGGAGGGATCCTGGAGGAAGCCTTCCGGGAAGGAGGGATTATGGAGGAAGCTCTCTCCCTCTCTCTCGCTCCGCCGTGTGTTCGCTCTCCGCCTTCCTTCTCTCGCACGCGCTGCTCTGGACAGTAGTTGTAGTTGCTCTCTCTCTCTCTCTCTCTCTCTCTCTCTCTCTCTCTCTCTCTCTCTCTCTCTCTCTCTCTCTC